AGGGTTGACTTAACACTTTTTACGCTGCTTTTCACAAGTTGCCTAACTAAGCCTTGATACGCGCCTCACTTCCTTTTTCCCTCTTCTGCTCTTCATTATGACAGTCTTCCGCTGTGACTTTTGCCTAATTCTAATTCCTCTCTAACAGCATTTAAAATTCTCCACACTCATCAGGTTGAAGTATTGAAATCCGTCTTAATTTTCTATGCGTAAGATTTTGGAAAGTTTCCTTTTTAAGGATTAAGTCCTATGAATAATTTGAGTTAATTTCTCAATGTCACTGTCGGAGAACTAGTTTTCGTGGTGTCTTATTTGAGTTGTTCAATTTTATTCGTTTACAAACCAAGCAGCCAGGTTTGATTCTTTTTTTTTAAATGACTTCAACCTCGTTTAGTTGCGGAACTGCCTAAAAATATGCACTGTTGTTGGATCAATGAGAGCTTGCTAAACGTTCTGTAATAGCTTCTGCGCATAGTCGTTGGTGTGAAAATTCCTAAGTATGTTTTAATCAGTAACTGATTTCTAGAACTCCTTCTAAGGCTGTATAATGCCTTTTCTTAAATTAGTTCAGAATTACAGAATTTTTGAATACAGACTAGCCGCGTATTTTTTTATGATACCAACAGATTTTTTTGGGTCCTCCAAGCTCGATGCTTCGTATTCAATTCTTTGATTTGTAAACTTTTCGAAGTGTTTCGTATTTATTCAGCCCCATTTGAAGTGTCGTGTCGAGTGCAAGTCGTTTTTCGAGAGTTGAGTCGTATCAAAAATTATATGGCATTGCCTAAAATTTCTACTCGACTCTAGTGTCTTAAAAACGGAAATTTGGCAGCACTGGATAATTTTCGACGAATTTTGTCGTCTACTTGTTTCAGCACGACAGTAGACCATATCAATGTTATCGAGTCGTGCAATTTCTGCGTGCGGGGATTCTGGATAAGATAGCAAGATAGTTCGAAAGACTTTCGCTATTTTAGCACAAAAGTCTTAAAAAAAAGTTCGCTCATTCACCACTCGTGGTGATAATCTATTTTGGGCGAAACGCTTGTATATCACTTAGCTCGCGTCGCTCCAACAGCCGCAAAAGCCGAGTGAACTAAGCATCCAAGAGAACCGAGTTCGAATTTTTTTAGTGTTTTCTTCTAAAAATAATATTTTTTGAATTCCATTTAATTTTAAGGAACTCATATTTTTTAAATAAATTTTATTTTAGTTTTAATCGTTGTTGTTTAATTTTTTTAATAAAGGAAAATATTTTCCTCAATTTTATTTAATTTTTAAAAACTTATTATTTATTTTTTCTTTCTTTTAATTTTGTAATAAATTTTTTTTTGTTTTTGAAAAATGAAATATACGTTTTTATTTCCGTTAATATATAACATCTTATTTTAATTTTTTTATTTCATTTTCTTTTAATATTTAGATTTTGTTTAAAAAATGAAAATAAAAATAAAAATACATATATTAATTTCTCTTTTTGGTTTATTTAAAAAGATTTTTTAGTTTTTAAAAATATTTGTATATATTTTTGCTTTATTTTCATTTTATTTTATTTTGTATTTATTGTTTTATAAAGAAAAATATATATGCATATTTTTTAAATTTAATTTAATTATTAAAAAAAATTTGCTAAAAGGCCAATGTAACGCTGGCATAGAGCTTTCAAGATAGTTGCCAGAATTTACTTATTTTTCAAAATGCTATGGTGAGGCTTTCACTTTCGTTGCGCAAACCCACATGTATTAATGGCTCTCAGCTGAAAAAAATTTCAACCCCCTAAAAGTTTAATCTTCTATTGGGCCTTCACTATATAAGAATTCATGACCTTATCGAAGTAAATGTTACAATGTTTATGCATATGCATTACGCATAAATGAAAGATTAAATTATTCAAAAGATTCAAAAGGTTCAACCGGGCTTTTACTGAGTTTCGAGCTTTTCTGATTCAGTTGTTGAAATGATTTAATACGAAATTCATTGCACTCCCCAGGAAGAGGAACATCTCGAAAAATTAATATTTCCACATTTTAAAAGCCGTTTGAGAATTGCTAATAAGAAACCGAGTTCATTATCAAAAGCTCGACTAACGCGAAAACTTTTTCTTTTCGCTACCAAAAATGTCATGTCAAATGGCATTTTACGCCGGCGAATTCAATGTCTTCACTCGCACTTGTCGCCGAAGTGTGCTCAATTAAGTTTTGGAGAGGCAGCAACAAAAAGCTACGAAAATAATCAAATGGAAGCGCATAATGGGAACGAGAGTGGAGAATGAGCTTCATTACTAACACATTTTGCAGTTTTTTTTTTCTGCTTTCAAGTCATTTGCTGATAGTCAAAAAAGCGCTGAATGTCGTGACTTGGCGCCACTTTGTTACTTTCCGGCTAAGCGCAAAATGAAATCTGAAGTTCCAAAGAATAATTTTATTGCAAAAAAAAGCAAGCAAGTGGCATACTCATACCTGAAAACGTGAAAAATCGAATAAAGTGCAAAAAAATTGCCAATAAATGAAATGACTTATGAAAAGAGTGGCGTTTGCTTTCCTTGTTTTTTTTTTTTTTTTGCTTGGCATGAAGAGGTTGCCGTTTACTCATTTTTTTCTTTTTCCAAAAATTTCGAATTTTTTCCTATCAAATACTTTTTGGGCAAAATTTTTTCATTAACTGCCTTGGTTTTTTTCTTTCTTTCCCATTAAACTCCAGTTGCACGCACTCGAGTGGCTCCCTCGACCAGCCAGGCAGGAGCGCGTGTTTATTAATCCTGGGAAACGGCGCAAATGTTTTAGCCAAAATATGCACTTGTTTTTGTTTTTGCTCCAGTTTATTTTATATTGCCATTTCAACATATCGCTTGTATTGTTGTATTGCTATTACAGCAAAGGTATTGCATGTTTTGGTTACGTTTAAGGAGCAGGAAAAAATTCAGAAAAATCGTGAAAAAATTGTCATAAACTTCGCGACTGTCAATCAAGGGAGGTCACAACTTTCTCCATGGCTGCCGCTGGGGCGCATCAAATAAACAGTTGCGCCCATACATATGTACACATTTACATGAAAGAGATTTTCAAAGTTTTTCGCCATCACTCCCCACTTTGCTTCGTTTCGTTTCGTTTCGTTTGGTAACATGACGTGGCTGTCATTTATTACTGACTTCCGTCGCTCCTTTCGCTGCTCGTTCGTTGCCGGCGCTTAAATTGATATTTTCATATGCCAAGCATGGAAGTGGCAGCTTTTTTTTTGTTTTCTTTCGGTGACTTAACTACTTTCTTTACATTTTTTTATTATAGTTGTTATTGTTGCACTTAACAGTCACAACCATGTAAGTATGTTTGTGTGTGTGTGTGTGCATGTGTGCTATGAGTATCCTTATGCGTCGACTTGATATGGCTGACTGGCGGGCGCGGTGTACACCTGCCCTTACTCGCTCGCTACTTGCTTGTATGGATTTTTTGACATTATGACATTTAATATGTCTTTTGCTGAGTTTTTATTTATTTTCTTTACTTACTTTTTTTATTTTCCCTACACTTTTCGAGTGTCATCATTGTCGCTTGATTATTATTTATTATGGGAAAATAACAATGCAGACGCAAGGAGCCGGCGTAGAAAGTCACGGCTTGGGGTCTGATTATTTGAGTGAGGCAATAAAACACATGCCTACCTACTACGGTTTCTAAGTTAATATTTTTCATATTTAGTATTAAGAACAAAGCGTTTGCTTTCTGGATTCCACAATCGAAAATCTGCTACAACTAACGGGAATATACAACTGTGTTCAACTAATTAAAAACGATATTCAAAATGGTATTGTTTGCAAATTATGTTGATTTTTTTTATTTTTAATAATTTTCATTTAAAATATAGTTCAATCTGTAACAGAAACCACAATAATAAAACTTTCAAAGCTTGCAAAAATTGCAAAAAAAATTAATGAAACTTACTTACATGACAGATAGGCGCCACATTAAAAAATGTGAAATTAAAGCTCAATTGAAGGCCTATCTGCAAGTTAAAAAATTTAAGATTTATTTTTAAATCTTTAGACAGATTAGACAGCCCTTTCGATTGCCGTCAGTTACGCCAGGAAAAATGTACCGTGGTCTGGATGACGAAAGCTAAAGGCGTTCCCACGACATTCGGGTCTACGTAACCGGAACCACCCAGACCCCCACTTCAGCAACACTCCCCAAAAACTCTTCGGGGAATTTGTATGCTGTTACAACCACAACAACTGCGAAAGCTAAGTGAGATTTCCAGCCCTACCCTCAAGCTTTGAGCCATCTGTGTATACATGTAAACGCTATAATGGGAGCAGTGTTCGGAGGTGGGTAGTCCATTAATCCGGAAAGCCCTGAAACTCCGTTAGTATCCTACCATGACCATAACTAGTATTTGACCACCTATTTGGCATGTGGGTCTACCGGAAGAAAGTAAATAGAAAGGCATACAGTGTCTTAGATGGCGTTGTTCTCATCACATCAGTTAAGAGTGTGGACACAAGTCCTTGGACTTAATCAAGATTTTTAAATTTTACCCCTTTCTGTTGGATGTCCCACCATACCACTATGCCGTGATGGAGAATCGGCCTTACTAACGCTGTCCATGACCATCTTTTTCTTATTGACATGCTGCAGAGTGCTACTGTCGCTTTGCGCCCTCTATCTAAAATATTGGGCCCCCAGTTTACTTTCCTCTCTGGTATGAGACCTAGATATTTGGTCTCATCCTATACTACAACGATTTTCCCCACTAGAGTATTCTTGTGCTTCCTAGTGAAGAGCGCTAGCTCCGTCTTTTCAGGATTTGTTCCCAATCCTCGCGGAGAATTCATTTACGAAGTAAACGCTTTTAAATAAAAATAATATTTTGCGGCACTTTCTAAAAAGTTTTCCAAAACCGATTTTTAGTAAGGACACGAATAGGGTGCTTGAGTATTGTATAATTTGTCTTTAGTTATTTTTTTTTATGTATGCATGTGTAAGTATTTGTATACTTGTACTCACTCATAGTCGTGTTTGTTGTACTCATAATCCGGTTGCATGCAGTAATCCTGCTGATAAACATTTGTGTTAGTGTAATAGCCAATGTAGTCATCGTAGTAGCCGCAATTTGAATTGTAGTTGGACATTTTCACAATGCAAACGCTTAAGAAGGTACAGAAAATATTTTTTGGTACAATAATTTTTATTTAATTTTAAAGTATTTTTTTACTTAAACTGAAATTATTATTTTTTATTTAAATTTAAATTATTTTAAATAAATTTTTTCTAAGTTAATTTTTTTTTTAATTAAATATTTTTTTTTAATGTTAGTTATTTCCGTAGCACACTGATTACTACTCGCACCAGGGTTCACACATTTCCACTTTTCTGTTGCAGCTTCCACTTTTAAGTTTTTTATATTCTTTTATTTATTTTTTCAAAAACTTAAATTGTCTTTGTTTTTTTTTTTCTTTATGTTATTCTAGATACGAGCTTTGAACGAGAAGATGATTTCTCTATTTTGTTATATTTTTTCTTCTGAAGAGTATCTTAGTATTTAGATATTATGCGATTTTTTTTTAAGAAAAAGTATCTGATTCTGGCACGTATTGAGGGTACGTAGGCACATGCTGCACATGCATTCTAAAGCTCCTGTTAATCGACTAGTCGAATAATCACTTAATCGATTAACGAGAGGTGGTTCATAAATTAGTCGACCACACTTAATCGGCTAGCCGTTTCCTTTCGACTTTTTTAAGTAACCGCTCACAAACAACTCGTCATTTTCGATTTTTTGTTTTTTTTTATATTTTTTTTAATATCTATGCCTTTTGACAAAAGCCAACCGCGCTAAAGCAATAATTTTACTGTGAACAACTGTCACTATTCGAAAAATTTCGGTTAGCCGATTTTCAGACTACTCTATGGTAAGCGGTTAGTCGAACTCGACCGGTTAATCGAATAATAGCTATTCGGATATCAGCCGTGGTAGGAGGTGTTTCGTAGAACTTAGAGGTACCTTTTTTTTAGAAAAATTTCAACTTTTTTTTAGTGATTTGGTACAAAAGTGCCCAAAAGTTGAAAAAAAGCAAGAAAGCAGGTGGACGGTGTTATAAGCTGACACCGGGCGAATGCTGCTAATGATGTCTGAATAACGGGACTTGGTGGTAACAGAGTTTATTTCATAAATAAATCGGTTTGGTATAAAATTCATAGGACTACTTTCGGCACATGACCCATGGTCCTAAAAAGTGCCTACCATAGGTAAATTTGCAGTTTCCTTGAGGTTCAGCCGGCTTTCTATGAGAAGTTTAGTTTAAGTAAGAACAAATTAGGTTAGGTAAAATTAGGAGGTAGGAGTTAGGACTAGGTAAATCTAGTCTACGGGACATTTATTATACCACAATGGGGATTTCTTGAGTTAAAAACTAGCTTTTCAAGCAATTAATTTCACGAAGTCGTCAATATTAAATGACTCTCTATTATCGATCTCCTTAAGAAAATATATTGGAAAAACTTTTGAGTCAGTCAAGATATAAATAGATATAAGAAGAATGCCCGTGCGATTTTGAGTTTATTCTTCCAATTGGTTTTTTAAGCGGCCACTCCTCTGGTATTAACTTTTCTCTGACAATAGTATATGGTCCTACACATTAAAATCGAAGGGTTTTGGTCATATTAGCCAGGTAGCTGCTGCTTTTCTTGCCACTTGGTCAGCCTCTTCGTAACTGCGGCACCCATATCAATTGTGCTGTGTTGGGTTATCTTTTTTCGGAAATCTATCCAGTGAACACTTCGTAGTTTATTTCAATGCCCTCCAGGCCTTCTCAATCTCGGAAGATATTAGCAAAGTTTGGCTGTCGAAACTAGAGAAACGGAAAAACCTCGGCACCTACACTGCAACCGTTTTGCCATTAAAAACCTGAAATTTCTACGAATCGATTATTAATACCAAATTGACTGACGATTGCATAAAATAGCTATAGCAATAATAACAACAACGGCACCACACATACAGAGTGTTATGTATATGTATAGAGGCGAGTGCGTGCTATCGATTTGTTGGCGTTTAAGACAATGCGGAGGCAATCACTTTTTAATTGTTTAATTAATAATTAACGAGGATGACAAATGAGCGCAAATGCTTGGTTTGCTATTCTAGTGTTATGGAGGTACATACTATATATGGATGTATGTATATATATATGTCTTTTTTTGTATTTATAAATGCAAATTTTTTGTAAATTTAAAATGCCGCCGGCGAATGTTTGGCAGCGATCACGTTTATTATATTTTTCATGTTTCTTATATTTTTATGTTACTGTTTTACTTTTATTTATATTCATATCGTTCCAAAGACTTTGTACCTGAAGCATAAATCGCTACTGGGTTCACGTCGCCTTGTATTAATTGGTATTGTAAATTTTTTTTTTGTGGTTTTTTATGCTTCTCTGATAGCCCCAATTGGCTACTGTATGAAATTATTTTCAATGTTTTTTGTGTGTTTTCTTTTTGTTATCAATTTTAAAGCGACGCAAGCAATAAAGATTTGTGGGCCATAAATTATGAGGGAAAAAAATGTCAATTACTTTCTTGGTAGCGTTTATAATTCGACGCAAATTTTTATTATGAAGTATACGTATTTAGTAAGTTTTTTTAAGTTTTCTTCGCCTAATTTTTTTTTAATTATTTGGATATTAAATTTGCATTATGTTTTGAATATTGAAAAAATGATGTTTAGAAAATCTCGATTGTAAGTTTTTTGTTTTTAATTATTATTGTGTTTAAAATGTTTCTTTTTAAGCTTTTTTAAAATAAGTTTTTTTTTATTTGAATAAGAGAATTTAGGATATTGAACAAGAGAATGCAATGGGGCAAAATCATAGTCGAAATTAAGTCGACTGTGAGGTTGAAACAGGCATCACACGATTTGTGCATTTTGGCGGCCACAGAGTGGTGTTTTTTGGAAGTTCTTTTATTGAGCTGAACTCAAATTAAAAAAAAACAGCACCACACTGTGACTTCCCAAATGTACAAAACTGTACAAATGTGCAAATCGTGTGATCCCTGCTTTCGTTGCAGCTTTTTAGACAGATATTCCAGTTTTTTTTTTTTAATTTTGCTCATAAGTTTTTAATTTGTTTCCCTATTCGTGAAAAGCTAAAAAAATATTTGTTTAAACATTTTTAATATTTTCTTTTTTAATGAAACATTTTGGGATGAATTTTTTCCCCCAAAGAAAAAATCCTGTTTAGCTTTTTTAAAGATTTCTGCGCTAATTTTTTATATATATATTTTTTTCAATTTAACTGAAAAATGATTTTATTCTATCAGTTTCCATATTAAATTCAAATAAAAAAATCATTTTTCACTTAAACTGAGGTGTTTCTGTATTAATTTTTAATTCTTATTAATTGAATTGTTATTTTTTAATTATTCCATATCCACTTTTTATGCCAAATAGTTGTTGGAAAATACCATTGGTCTTTTCTTTACATTTTTAATTATTTTATTTTTTTTTTTTAGTGAATTTTGGCAATCACCTCTTTTTCACGCAAAAATTGCCTTCAACTTGAAATGCTGTTCAAAATCTCAAGTTGCACTCACGCTACGCGATTTCTTAACGCCAATATTTTTTTTTTCACCCGTATGATCACTAATTTCTGAATTGCCGTTACGATTGCGTTGGCGGTTGAAGTGGCGCAATTATTTCTCACTTCTACCAAAGCGAATGCCCCCACAATTGCCGATACAAGTCGAAAGGCTATTAAACGACGACTGGAGTGCCGTAAATGGTGCAAGCCTAGTGGCGAAAAATAATGCCTCGCACCAAATAGCCGCTTCACACACACTACAAACCCATTAAACAAATACTACTTGCTTCCAAGTGTCAAATACCCACCATTCGATTAGTACCCAATTGCTCGACGTCCATGGGCCACACAGCTGGGGCTTGCTTGTATGCGCCGATATCGCAACGATACGCGTTGCTGATAAGCGCGAGCTATATCTGTGTGCATTGGTAGGTGTACGGAAGCCCGGGAGCCACCCCTTTCACATTTCCCTCTTTCACCAAAGAGTCTCTGCGTTCAATCATCTACTCCGCCCGCTTCTTCCAAGCCCCCCCTCCCCCCCCGTTCGCCATTCATTGTTGTTGTTGTTATACTGAATATTTCTCTTATTTGTCTTGGTGGTCTCTGGTAGCCGTGTGCCTTGTTTACATTTACCATTACCGAGTTAAACGTGAACGAACGCCAACATATATTTTTTTTGGTGGCGATATTGAGTTATCAATATTTGATTTGTGCAACTGATATTGGGGCATATACATATTTACATATATGGTGTAAATGCAGAAAAGCAACAACTGCGAACGATTGCAACAACAACTATAATGCAAGTATGTTATCAGCATGTTTGGTAAGCAAAAACGTTGCATACATGCAAGGTTGTGTGTGTGTGTGTGGCTGTGCGGGGCGACCCAAATGGAATGTACATACGTACCTACTCTAATCTGAGTGATTACCACTACCTTTTATTAGCCACTACTCAACGTGTCTTGTTGATCGAAAAAAGAGCTTCTTCCACGAATAGCGATCATTGAAGTCGAAAGAGGACCAAAGACCTCACAACAAACATACACCGAAATTGAATTTATACCTTGGAAAAAAGCACGATGAGATGGAAGGCCACGGCTCCCTGTAAGTGGCAAATATAAGGGGAAAAAAACATTTCTAGATCCTTATAAGTTTCCTTTGTGCAGAACACAATCATTCAGGGGTACATTCATGGCCCAAGAACGACTTCGCTGAACAATCAACGGAGGGAGGCGCAATGTCCATAGAAGCTTCGTTGAATGAAAATTGCTTGCAAAGGCAGCATCCGCTTGAGTTCGCAAAAGTTCACTGCAATGAGCGCATTCTACAGAACGAAAATAATATTTGCCTAGACTATTAGCCCCATTCTCTATCGGTGACAAAAATTTGCAACTGACAAATTTAAACTATTTCATATATTTTTCGTAAAAAAAAACTGTGAAAATAATTTGTCACTGATACAGAATAGAGCCGTATATCAACGTCTGTAAGGAGAGCTAGAAAGTTTCTGCAGCCCCTGAAACTAGTCGACATCTATTGGGTGGGAAGTGCTGCAGCCTTTAGAACCCGATGCCCGAATATGTAAGGATAATTTAAGTTTCGTAATATGAGAG